TTATCATTCATTTTTGATTCTCTGTTAAAAAATGACTTTAAACGAGAAAGTAATAAAAATAGCAAAATTCCTACAGAGTCAGCAGCCAAAAGGTTAATGAGAAGTGGTCATAGGTTAGTAAATCTCTATGGCTTTGGACAAACTGGCTGTGCATTGTAAACCGGACTGATCAAAATGACTAATAACTAGGTTATTGACTCTCTGTGAAGTCAGCTGAACCATAGGTGCTGTGGACTGACCCCAATGTTTCTAGACAGACCTCAATCCATTCGATGTCAATAACCTATTATTACATTTACACACATAAAATGTAAATCAATTGCCGCACAAACATATGTTGTGGTCTATTTATGTACCACGGGTCTTAGAGAAATCAAGTCCAGACTCGCTAGATTAATCGATGTCTAACTCAAATGTTTCTTATCGTGAGTTTTAGAAATAGTCGCTTGACCTCTATCCATTTCAATTTTCAGTAACTTTAAACATTTTGGATTTATTCAGACAGTCCTTTTGAATATTGTTTGAAATGAAAGGGATATTTCCCCCTTCGATAGATTGAAAAGTTGCACAACATTTTCTTTCAGTTACACCGCTCTTATCATAGGGATCAAAGTGTTCTCAAAGCATTTACTCACATAAGATGTTTCACTGCACTGTTGCCCTTACCTTTATTAACAAGTCCACAAATGCCTTATTGCTTGGAAATGACATATTTGTGCAAAACACTTGACTTTTGTTGTGATATCTGCAGTGCTGCAAATATTGTTGAATAGCATTGCATTTTGATTTCTACAGTGGACTTTTGATTTGATAGATTTGAAAAAGATCTGAATTAATTCTTTACATGTATTCATGAAAGATGCTGGTTATTTTCAAAGGCTTTCATAATCTTCCCCCAATCAATTATCATACACTATGTGAAATTAATTGGTGTTCCTTGATATGATTGAGGGGCTACATCAATTATTTAAAGACTTGTGTATCAATTAAATGCCAATCATGTTATGCCTGTACATTTTCACAGGACTGGGTGGCACAGTTGGTTTCATCCTGTTGCCTCTGGGGCTTGAATCTAGCTAGATGAGCTAAACTGCTCTCTCTCTCTCTCCCTCTCAAGTAGCTGTAAGTGTCCTCAATGAAGTTAGTTTGACCAATCCTTTATTCTATTTTCTGATCAATATCAGACTGTGTTCAAATTCACCCAGTCACTGTCATAAATCACATATTGCTATCACACAATTCAATACAGTAAGGAAGGGATCCAATACAATCATTGCCTCAAGTTTAGTTAAGTACATTCGTTTTCTATGAAAAATATTATCTTACAGTTTGAAATCATTACCTTTTTAAAAAAACTTCATCCACTGTTCATCTGGAATCGCTGGTCATGATAACTTGATCAATCTCTCTCTCTCTCCCTGACCCGTGAGGTTGCAAATTGCCAGGATCATACACAGTTAGTCTCTGAACTCCAATGCACAGTGATCAGAAACAGTTGCAATCTCACTGAGAATCTAAACTTCCTTTTGTTGATGCCATTGAATTTCATTACAGTTGGATTCTTCTTCTTAGACCTACCTGTGGCACTATCAGCTCTGTTGAATACCCAGATTACCTTGCTAAGCTACCTAAAACCTTCAATCTTTGTGTCTGTCCACATTCTTTCTCATTGGGCAAGGCATCAACACAAAACTGTGGACCATGTACTTCCAAGCATAGCTATAACAGAAAACTGGTGTTTACATAAATTGGTCTTAACCTTTTTACAACATTGATCTCTAACCACACGTGACTCTCATTATTTGCACATTATGAAATGTTGGGCCTTGGATGTTTCTATTTAGTATCATGTTTGGTGTGCAGGTTGAGTTTAGTGAGTTGCAGTGGTTTTGTTTGACACGTTAGGGTCCAAGCTGAAGAGAGATGAAGTGTATGTGGTTTATGGAACAACAATCACGATTATGCCCAGAGGTATGACATCAAGACCAAACACAAAATGTTTTCAGTTAAGATGCTGTTCAAATAAGGTTGTAATTGTGATTGGAAGTCAAGAAAATCGTGAAACATAGAGGTGAGTTTGCACTATTTCTTAACATGATTTCTTAATTAAGAGATCTGAAAGTGCATGAAGCAAACTTAGGAATGCTGCTCCATCTCAATTTCTTTTTGGAATGGGGGATTTACTTACTTACAGATTTTTGGTTAAGAAATGTTGCAAAATTGACCGCAATATCCTTCTCTCGAAAACGCTTCTTCTTTAAGACTTATAAGTTCACAAGGAGAGAGGTGAAAAAAATCTATGCTTTTACCTAAGTAGCAGATAATATTTGTTGATGAATTATGATTAATTAATTGCACAAGTTGCAATTTAATTTTAGCTGTTTTAAAACAGTAGTGTGTCCAATAATTCAGTTATTCCCCAGCCTATAACCTGTCAGAACATCATTACCTCATTATATTGACTAGTTTGAGGTGCAAATGGAACAGTATTTTCCTAGAGATTCCTGATGCAGGTTTTACTTGAGATATAAATACTCTATGTCCAAACTGCAAATATTGAACAGGATACTGGATAGCCACATTCTGCTCCACGAGGATCAGTGTTGCTGTTAGCTGTGAGATAATTGTTCAGTAATTGTGGTGTGAATCCAGATATGTGTATTTTATTTATTTTTTTACTAAAAGAGTTTTCACCATCTGCCACAAAAAAAATCATTTTGTGCCATTAAAATTGTGTTACTGATCTATTCTTACTTGTTCAGGTCAATTGAATACCTGATAGTATTTCAATAGTGGTTTTAGTTACACAGATCTGTGTGTGCATGTTCTTTAACGATGTTGTTTTCTGCAATTTAAGTCCTGGTGTTGGCTGGAAACAATAAAGAAACTGATACTGAGTGCATCTGTCCACCTAGCCATTTCTGGAATCAATAGCCTGGAGGCCGTGCTTTTATAACTGAAGGACCTAACTTTGGCTGATCACTGAAGCGATCTTTTCATGTGTTTTCACATTGGGAAATCCGATTATTTTAGCGATCAACGTAAAATAGTCCTCAGCGTATCCAATATTCAGTCAACTTTATTTAAACCTATTAAATTCATTGTTTCCTTCTTAGTACTTACATTTACTAAGTTGAGGTGTGAACAGTTGCAAGTGTAGACTATTCCTATTCCTGGTAAACTTGCTGAAAAAGGGGAAGTAGCCCCCATTGCCTCTAAATACTGACCAAGAGTTTGATTGTTCAATCAAAAATATTAGCCTTTTATAATTACAGTACTAAATCATTTTTGGATCATCCCTTTATTGCTATTCTAGTGGTAATGCTTTTATTTGTTTCATAAAATGCCTTTCCCCATCTTGTCTTATTTTCTCCTGTTTTGTAAAGTCGACTCCCAGTGACCACTCTGGCTAAAGGAAGGGCAGGCACTTGGTTCCCAGGTCAATGCCAGATGTCACTGTAGGTGTTTGGGACTGAATGCTCATGTGCATCAATCATTTAGGTTGTTCTCAACTTGTAATTTTCTTTCTGGAGTTCATCTATACTCAGCATATCCATAGATTGAGGTGGCAACATGTGTGTCGGGGATAGGAAAAGGGAAAAGGATTTCCAGGCTGTGAGCGTTTCAATGGTGCAGTTCAATTATGTATCAATATTCCATATTTGGTCCATATCGTACAGTATAAAAATCACCTAGCAGTTACAGTGATGACTTCTCAGACAGATCGTCCCAGATTCAGGTGCCAGGCCTGTTGGACACACATGGAATGAGTTTCCTCAATGTGCAGCTGGGCTGTAGAGCAGAACAATTCCACCTCAGGGAAAAATACTAAAATTGTCTGGTCACATAGCTCAAAGCCCTTCTCATCAGCCATCAGTCATTTGAAGATTTCACTCATAGCTTGTTAAGAAACGGTAGGTTTTGTGCTGCATTAATATTGACTCAATTGCACCACAGCCTTGTCTGGTTCACCATCAAACGAGAGCAACAACTGAGGAAGTACTGCGGGATTCTCCAGTGACTGAGCATGCCAGGAAAATCTTTAAACAAGCAGTGACTCCCCTTTAATATTACTCATATTATCTTTAACTCAAATGAAACATCCTATAACACACAATGAACTGTAATTTGCAAGATTCGCAAAAGCAGATCCTGTTGTATCATAGTCAGCCCTCTGAATTGTATTGTATAAAGCACTTTATACAATACAAAATTACATTTGTGTAGCGCCTTTCATGATAGGAGGACGTCCCAAGATTCTTTATAGAGCCAAAGTGGAAATCCAAGCAAGGTTGGAAGTAGTGGGGAAGGAGAAAGCTGACCAAAGTAGGGGCAAAATGGTAAAGAGAGATGGGAACTGTGAGGCAGAGTGAGCTTTGGAAAGGAATTCCAGAGAGCATGGCCTAGTGATATGAAAGCTCAGATGTCAATAGTAAGACTGAGTTCAAGAGGATCAGCTGAAACACATCCAGGATTTGCTATGTACAGAACATTTTGCAAATCTTGCAAATTAGACCCTTGGAGGCCCAGGGACTTAAAAGACATGTTGTTTTGGTCTCCACAGCACAGAGTTCTTGAATGTCACTAATAATCAGAATAAGGGAAAATTGCAACGACAGTTACTCACAGGCTTCTTTTATGCATTTCCCAGTTTCAGAGTAGCATTGGCAGGAGGTCATTTTCCTGTATTTTTGGCAAGAAATGATGCATAGCATTGAGCAGGGGAATAATAACTAATGTTCTTTAAATATAATTTTTCAGAGTTCCTGTGGCTTTACAGCAGTTCAGGCAGGATGTTGTGCCCCAGTTTTCTTGCTTTCATCTTCCTTTCTCATTGTCAAGGTCCTTGAAAGAGAGGTTAAAATTATATATATAACCAGTGTTATTTAAAAGGCACGTTTTTGTAACCTAAATACTGTGGAATCCAAGTGACAGAGTAGTATAGTGGTTCCTGTTCTTTCTCGATGACTGTTTCACTTTCTTTTTTTCCCTCTCAACAGCAAGAATTAGAGGAGAACTTGATGGAGTATGAGGAAGATGATGGTGTCAAAGTTGACAAGGTAATTATCTTTGGTGCACTTTTCCTTTCCCTCAGGTATCAGTGGCTGTTGTTTTTAGACCTGACTGGGTCCTGCAGACCAGAAAGACTTAGTTGAAGAGTTTGAGTGGAGATAATTGGACAGAGCTGTTTATCATCCTAACAACTAGTGTACATTGGGAAAGGGGAATGCCAGCAATAAATCCTATTCTTTGGCCTGTGACTGGGTTAGACATTTTTTTTGCATGTGTATGTGTGCATACATCAAGCATTAAAAAGTAAATCGGCATGCCTTGCACATTGTGAATTTGGTAAGATCACTGCAGTGAAAGGTTTCTGAAGGACAATTCAGATTTTTAGAATTGTTGCTGTACTTCCTGGAATGACAAGAATACAAGGTTCATCCGATGTCTTCATCAGAGTAATATCTTTCACTTCAGAGTGAAAAACAGCATTTATATTTTCAGTTCTGAATCGCTCTTGCCAGGCGATAAGCTCTGAGAATGAGCATCAAACGCTTGTGCAACTCTCTGTACACTGATGCCAAACACCAGTTACATTTTTAATGGTATTAAAGAGTCAAGAACGCTTTGGAATTTTGTAGGTGAAACCATATTCAGCAGAATTGCATCCATGCAATTCTGAAACTACCTCCTAGAGCTCCTGGTGGGAGCGAGGCTCAAGGTCAAATTGATGTACTTTCAGTGATGATTCACTGGGAATATTTTCTTGATTTAACACTGTATGTATTACAGGCCAATCCAGTTCCAACATGGTAGTTTGTGTCTATAAGCCTAGATCCCGGGTATAATGAGGAGTGTAAAAATGGCCGCCTGGTTGTCAGGTGCTGCTGATGTCACTTCCTGCGTATAACAAGCAATACACAACACACAGGAAATGATGTCAATGGCACTTGCTGAGGATAAAGGCGTGCATGTTGTGCACAGGAAGCCAGCGAGTCAACGTCAGAAGTGTATAGTCCACAATATATCTAAGCTATGAAAGGAGCAGTGCTGACAGTGAATGTTATAACAAGATTGGTGCGTATATAAATAGTTAGATTCATTGAAATTGAACATTACAAAGGAATCAGCTATTAAACTTCAGATAAAAGTCCACCTGCCTTTCAAGGTGCATGTAAAAGAGCTCTTGACATTATTTGAAAAGAGAAGCACCAGAACATACAGAACTTTCTTTTCTGTTTACGTCTTTTTGCCACATTTATGATGATTTTCATAAAATCCATGTTACTGTAGTGTTTTTAAACTGCTTTTACTACTTGCAGAAAATCACAACTGGGGAATCTTACCTTTGATAGCATAAAGGGAAGAATGTGTGTGTAGTCAGTTTTTAGTCAGTAGATTAAACTTGGATCCAGTAATAAACAATTTTATTCTTATTTAAGTTAATAATAACCTACAGTAACAAAAGAAGAATGCAACAAAGAAATATATAAACTAGTGGAGAGGGCAGAGTCATCACAAAGTGATAAAGTTCACTCTTTTTTTTACTTATTTCAATAATTATATATGGATTATATATTACACACAGTTTGGGATTGAAAAAGTGCTCAGGAAAATGGTAGCGTGGCTGTAACTTGACTACTGGAAAAGCCTTGTAAACCGTATGTATAATACGTTCACTTGCAAAACCTCAGCTGCGACTTAAGATAACCTTGGAACCAGGATCTAGTGAGTTGGTATAATGTATATTGGTTCCCTGCTGGAGATGCAGTTTACCTTGCGAGGCAGTTTTTCAAGTGGCAAAGCTGGACATTAGCAGCATTCCCACTTTCCCCGAGTTCCTTTCCAACCGCATAATTTTGCAGAAGCAGTAACTTATAATAGACTCTTTGCACTTCCAACATGCTTCAATTCCTTAAGTACTCTGTGACGCCACCTGTGTGAAGGGCACTATACAAATGCAAGTTGTTGTTTTGCTGTTAAGCACTCCTGTTCAGAAATGTGTTCATTCTATTTCTCTGATATATAAGGAATGGGTTGGATGCCAACTACCATATTCTCCAGTTTCAGTGGAAAGATAATATATTGGAACATCTTAAGTCAGTTGTAATTGTGGTTGATACTGAGGCAAATATATAATTAGACGGCAAGTAATAGTGTGTGTTCTGCAGCAGAAAGGTATTCTGATGGGTCAGCCAGAAGTCAAACCTTTTGTTTTGGTATTGGCTGTTTTTCTACTCCATCAAGTGCAGACGGTAGCAGTCTGATACTGCCTCTTCAAGGTGATCTGGTTATTTGAATTGAGTTCATTAAAACTGCAGTTATACTGTAAAAGAGGTGCTGGTTCAACACAAAACATTGAATCAAACTGATCTCATCTCCTGAGATTAACGGGTCTAAGGTTGTAGCAAATGTTGTCACTCAATGCATATTCTCAAGTAAATAACATTTCTATTACCAAGATATTTATTGTGCAGGGCTATCCCTGTCAAAATTGTATTAAGGGAATAATGGGCACCACAGCGTGATTATGAAGAGTTCCAAAGTCAACCATTTGTAACAGTGTATGAACCTGATTATATTATAACCTGCACATCCTCCAGGGTCTGTCACTTTATTTAGGATAAACACTTGAGCCTCACGGGATATATTTTTGGTCCTTTTTTTCCCCAATAAAAATGTTCAGTGTATCAAGCAAATGTGGACCAGGTGATCCATTTAATGGAATAATCTGTTTTAATCACTAGAAATATGTCAAATAAATAATTTTGGCTGATTCCTGAACCAGAGAGTACATTGAATATATCAATATTTAAATAGCCACCAGTGGACATTCTACACTGTAGCAGCAGGTTGATTTCACAAGTCTGCCAAAATGACCAAACAAGGTACCGTGAGCAGTAGGTTGTAACTTTTTGTCCGTGATCGAATTAATCGTGTGAAATACCAAGTAGTCCCAGTTGGAACAGAAGGAATTATTGAAACTTCTGTGGCACAGGTAATTTCTTCTGACCTTATTAGCATTCCCTGGCCAGCAGCAGCAAAATGAAATGGAAATTGTGCATTGCTGCTATTCTATTCTCTTCAAAACCAGCGACACACATTAAAGCTCCAAAACACTTGCACTAGAATGCAATCAAAAGTGCCCTTGGTTCTGAAATGCAGTAAAAGGAAAGCTCTGTTCTCCTGTACGTCTCTTCCTCTCATCACACTCTGGTCATTGCTCGTTCCTCACGTACCTCATCCTGCCATCAGTCGTGAAGCCTTCAGCCATTCTCTGTAACTCACAAAATCACTTTGCCTTGCCGTTCTATCCCTTCTTTCAAAACCTTCAACGAATACTACCTCTCTTTAACTGTGCCTTTGCTCAATACCCTGAAATTTTCTCTCCTTTTCTCCCAGATCAGTAATCCATATTTATTTGTGAAGTGCTTCAAGACTTTCATCCTACTACAGAAGAACAAGTTGTTTAAAGTAAATTGAGAATCTCCAGAAAAGTGAGATGTATTAAATTGAGGACTGAAGTATAAATTCAGAACATAAGATGGACGCGAATAGCACTCCTTCTTTTCCTTATTCTCAACCACTGCACAATCCCTTTTTTCATTCCTTCCAAGTAATGGAGAATTTATTGTTTCACTCACTTAAGTGAATATCTTTTTTATATGTAGTAGTGCTTTGGGACATCCTCCCAACGTGAAAGGTGCTCTATAAGTGTAATTTTGTTGTTGTTGTAGTATTATTATCAATGAAACTCTTAAAATGTCTGTGCAGGACTTGTAGGGTATGTGGGGCACATAGTATGGAAACCAAAAATGGATTTCTAAAGGCAGGGCTTATTCATAATGATCTAATGCAATGGTCAGATTAAAGGATTTGATATTTTCTCTCCAGGGGGATTCTTTTCCTTTTTGCAGCCTTTATGTTTTCTTCTAGGTTCACAATAAATTGAAGTTCACTGTGCAACAAATTTGCCTGTTCTCGTGCTAGCAGGTAGAAACTCTTTTTCATTACTGCTCTGTTTGTTCATGCTGAAAAATATTAAGGCCAGGTCAGAGGCATTTTAGAAGATGAAAGTAAAAGATTAATAAATGTGCCAAAGCCTCATTCTAATTGAAACCGAAGCATATGTTGCAAGTATGTGAAATATGTCCCAGATGTTTAACCTCAGCCTGTACCTCTGCTTTCCCTGTGCAGCACAAGGCACCCATTAGTCCTGTAACCTTTGTACTCAGGACTAAATGGGGTATTACATGGCACAAAACTCACACACCTGTTTTCCATTCAATAAGGACCCCTCACGGGCATCACATAAGCTCCTGCATGTGTTTTCACTTAGCAGATCATTGGGCGATTGTGAAAAGTGTCTTTCTTGGAGCCAATGTAGATATTAGTCACTTAGTCACAATGAAAGGGCAAGTCAGCGGTTAATTGTTCAGAGCTGTGAGTCTGTAAACTATAGCAGGTAACTGAAAAGAGTCCTTGTTTTTGAGAGAACTGCAAAGGCTTTGGATTGGCTTGAATTTATAGCTGCTGGAGTTAAAAAAAAAAGACCTGCTCGAGTTAGTAGTAACAGAAAATAATATAATTGTATTAATGGTTCTAATCGCTTAGAGAATAATTTTTTTTATTTTGGGGGGATGTAAAATAATTATCACCTTACATCCCACTGAAATTTTGTTATGGTTGCAATGTATTGGATTTGTTACATGTAAGAATGTAAGATAAGCTTCCAGTAGATTGGTTTTATACATCCTTACTGGAAAGTGATCTTGTGTAGACAGAGTTGAGAACAGGATCGGACTCAGCTGTTATGCCCTCAAAATTGAATTGTCTGCCGACACTCACTGTCTAGGCTCAGATATGAGAAAAGATCCATTGGTGAGATGCCAGAGAGCGTCTGACATGCATAGAACCTAACCCCAGCCTGAGCTAGTGTCTTCAGTAGAGGAGGAGGAAGGGAGAATTGACCTTACATCCACTTGTTAAAGGTTGTGGTTTATACATACATCCTACATCGTGTAGTCCTGTAGCTCAGTGGTTAGAGCACTCGCTTTGC